TATAATCAAATGTAAAATTGTTCAATGAAATGTTAGCGATTGTGAAATTTTCAGGTGGGTTTCTGTTTACCTGCAAATATACTAAGTTTTACTATTTACATCCAAATTGCTGCACCTAACACTGAACTATTTATGTGACTACTTCCACATGTGACTTCTTCAAGCAATGCATGAAGCATAGTTGACTAAAAATAAAAAAAAAAAAGACTAAATTACTCAGATCACTATAAAACCAATAATTTAGGCCTTTTGGCACATTTTCCAGAAAGCACCCTTTAAACTTTGTTAATTACAAAATAACTGGATTGTCCACCTGTCACAATCACTGGGGCTTCTTGTTGCTTTGAATTCTAGAGGTTAAAAAAAAAAAAAAAAAAAAAAACTGTTGCAGCCGGCTCACCAGGGTTTGGGCTGAGGTTTATGCTGGTGTGTTCTGCTTTGCCCTTTGCATTTTGTCTGCATTTGTCCTTAAAGTTTGAGGAACTCATTTGAGCAAAGTATCTGTGTTATGGTAGAGCACACAGAGGGGCGGATATCAGAAGGCCTGAATTCTAGCCAGACTCAGCCACCTAACCACTTGCTGAGTATAATTTCTGTGTAGACCTATGACATGCCTAACCATCCCTATTCGAATGATATTTACTCCTCCTAATAAGACACCAGCTTCTCAATCTAGCTAATTGTAGGTTGGTCACCATCTTTTATATTCTACAGCTTGCCTGTCTTGTAATAATATCCCCACATTTTTCATGTCAATCAATCTTGCTTAAATTTTAGAAAACAAAAAATAAGATTAGTTTAATTTAAAGAGCCTTTGGTTACTCAAAGTATAAAATTAAAAAGCATCATAACCTTTAAGGAAGAATGTGAAATGCAGATATCATTGGAGTCCTGATAGTCTCAAGAGGCAGCTGTGGAGGTATGAGAGAGCAGAACCTGCACTTAAAAATCTGTGAAAGGAGTTTCAGCCTTTGAGCACTATTAATATTTATAACTCTGAGTAAACAGAGACCTAATGACATCTATAGTTTGTCTATAGAATGCAGTTGATAATACTTAACTCAAGTTTATTACAGTGGAAATTAAATGAGATCATTTACATAAAAATCTTGCTGTGATTTTTCATACAGTTGCTTGTCAATATTAATCCTCATTTTTCATTGATTTTAGAAGATGATCATCCACGTAGGCATGTCAGCTGCTGTGGTCATTCTGCAGATCAAATTTAGGCAGCCATATTGTTGAGATTTCATGGGTACAATATTTCTGTCATATCTAGAAGATACCATCTCAGAGAAGGTGTCCTGGTCCTCTAGCTCTTATAATCCTTCTGCCTCCTCTTCCACAATGTTCCCTGAGTCTGAGGTATAGGAGTTACATTCCACATGTACCACTTAGGGCTGGGCACCCCATAGTCACTTATTCTTTACATTTTGACCAATTCTGGATCTCTGTAGTAACTTCTGTCTGCTGCAAAAAAGCTTCTTTAAGGAGTGGTGAGAGCCACAATTATCTGTGGGGATAAGGATAAGTATTAGAATACAGTTAGAAATTATAGTGATTAAGATAATGGCATTGGAAGGTTCTCCTCTAGGGTCTGTGATGTCTCTAGCTGCATATACGTGGCTGAGTTTACAGCACCAGGTATGAATTCCCTCCTATTCAGCAGACCTTAAGTCCAATTAGAAAGCTATTGGCTATTCCAAAGATATAATTGCCACTATTTTACCAAAAAAAATTAATTAGAATGATTATTAATCCCTCACCTCTAATTTTTGTAATGGGCCTGTGAATTATCAGTATGATTAACTACTCTATGATTATGGACAATATAAATTTAAATGATTTTTTACATACTTTCATATGTATATATGACAAGACTAAATCTCAATTGAGGATTTGCATCTTTTATTTTAGATCACCAAGCTATAAATATCATGATTATTACTATATAGTATAGAATACATAATATTGTATGTAAAAAGAATACCCTAAAATATTTTCAGGATATCATCTATACTGTGGAAAGTATACGTAATACTATATATATATGTGTGTTTGTGTATACTGTAGATTTGCATATATCTGTATATATATATTTTGACTTAAAACATAAAATTGTTAATCAGTGTGTATCTTATTTAATTTTTTTCCATGACATAATATATTTTATAATACATGGATAATATATTATAAAAGAGGTTTGTTTGACTCATTATTTAGGTAATTAGGAAGTCCAAATAGTATGGTGCTTGTGTCTAGATGTTTTATTATATTATGGGGACACAGAAAGGAAATCAACCACATACAGACATTGAGTAAGAACCAAGCTTTCTCTTTTTGTAAAAACTAATGAAAACAAACCTATCCTGTCAGACCTTATCCATTCCTAACATTAGTCAACGGATGTAAGTGGAATCCTGTCCTCTAATCTTCTCCCCTAGGCCTTACTTCTTCATATATATACAGTTTGTGTCCCTTAAAGTCCAGTGTTGGTCCATCCACTGGAACCTAGTTAACCTACAAAGAGTCCTACACTTGAAAGAGATTGACTCTCCCAGTCTCTGTACTAAAGGTTCCTTAGGTTGGGTTGAGATTTCTTACTTCCCCATAACTATGCTGTGATTTTCTCTTCTTTGAACTTGTGCATGCTGCCACCATTGTTGTGAGTTCATATGAATAACTGACCAGCTGTCTGGAAAACTTTATTTCCTAGTGGTTATCCACTGCCTCTGACTCATACAATCTTTACCACCACTCTTCCACAATGATCATTGAGCCTTGGGAGGCAGAAGTCTGATTTAGATGACCTATGCAGGGATAAGCAATCTGAAGCCTCTATCTTATTCTCTGCACTTTTTAGGGTTCACTTCTTAAAGTTCTTACCACCTCACCATGGCCACACTGCAGACCAACTTTCCAGCACATGAGCTTTGGGAGATAAACCAGATCCAAACCATAGCAGATGAATGAACTATTATATAGTGAGAAGCAAAGGGGAACAGGATAACATGAACTGAAAGTAGCATAAAAATACCAACACATTGTACTTAGGATATGAGTCTATATTGAAAAGGAGTCGAATTTGCACACTGAAGAGATCATTGCTCACTTGCAATCTTTGCGGCTCTATTCGCAGCTGTCAATAAATGGAAACATCTGAAGCAGTCTTACCTGACAAACACATGCAGAAAATGTGGGATACTATTTTATTTCACAGTAAGAAAGAATGAAATCCTGTCCTTTATTACAAGGTGGATGGGCTGAAGAACATTATGCTATGTAAATAAGTTGGGAACAGGACAAAATCTTAGTTTTGTTCTATCTCTCATTTGAAATAAATTTAATTTAAAATTACAAAATAAAAAAATTTAAGAACAGATAGTAGAACTTTAAAAACAGAAACTTTTCTGTGTCAAAAATAGAAGGGTCAAACTGCTTGCATTTTTATATTATTTTCTCTGTTTCAATAAAAATATAAAATATTGCACATAGTAAGAAATTACATTAGTCTAGGGATATGACAGTCTTGGGGTTTCTCTAAGATCTTGGACAACTCCAGCCACATGTATTTGGTTATTTTTATAGTTTCCTCCCATTGAATGGGCTTTTAGTCCAATTAAGTAGCTGTTGATTGCCCCGGAGATAAAAGTGCCACTACTGCACCAGTGTCGCATGCTGTGCCAGCCAGTGATGTGGTTATTTGGCCTTGAAGCTGGTGTTGGACCATCAACTAATGTTTTCCCTTGGCACCTTCATAGTGCTCTCCAAAGCTATGAGAACTAGCCTTCAGGGGAAGGGGCTTCAGGTCAGTTCCAGCTTTATTGCTCCAAATCCTGTGTCTAATGTATGTTCTGTCTTCAGTAGTGGGGTCTTACCTTCAAGTTCTTGGAGGCAATCAAGGGTTGTGGACATAGCCTGTGTAATTTTGGTGGTCTCTTGGACTACGCTGGTCAACAACCTTATATTTACAGACAAATGTCTCAGTCACCACTCATCAAAGAAGCTTATTTTGCACCAGTCAGAGGCTATTGCCAAGTACTACAACTGGTCACACACAGACATCATCTATGAATTTCCCAGTCCTAAGTGACACATCTGTAATGCAATGTCTACACCTAAGGCTCACAGAACCACAGAAGAAGGTCAAGGAAGAGGATACTAATGAATCTCTCAGTTCTCATTAAAGAAGCACCCTCATACAACAGAGGACCAGGAACACAAACACTCACAAATGTCCAGAGTAAGAGATTAAGAGTATGCACAATGCTGGTCCTTGGACAGAACTCCTTTATTAAACTTCACCCACCCAAGGCTCAGGGAACATCACAGAAGAGGTGGCAGAAACATTGTAAGAGCCAGGGAGGAGATGCATGACAATATGGAATCCTACAAACACCTGGGACTCTGCTCATATGATTCTATGGCAATGCTGTCAGCATACAGAGGTCCCATGCAATTCAGGCAGACAAAAACCCAGCATAGAACTGGAAAACCCTATAGTTATCTGAAGAGATATTGGCAACTAATTACTGCTAGGTGAGGAAGAGCTGACCTTCCTAAAAGGGACTCTAGATAGGCTGACTAGACCTCAGTGGATGAACTTTCATTGGGGAGTGTCTGCAGATACTCACTTGACACAGTGGGCCTTAAAATGGATGACAGAGTATATGGTTCCAGTTGTGGGGGTATAGAAGGGTTCCAGTGGGGATGGGGGTGTAAAAATGATTAAGATTGTTTGAGATGTTCTGGATGAAATACACAAAAGTTCAATAAAAACAGATTTTTTAAAGTATGTAATATTAATGCATCCATTTATAATGTAGCTAAAGTACATTTTTTTGAAAAATGAACAAGTCAGTGAAAGATCAAGTCCTCAAGTTCAAGTAAGTCCCATACCATCCAGTGATCTTCATGCCTCATGTTTGGCTTTTTATTTCACCTAATAAATGCAGTTTCCTCATTTCAGTTTATCATTTTGTATGTACATTTTCATACAGGCAACTATGGAGAAAGTGGGATGGAGGCTTTCAAAGATATGTCAGCCAAGGAAGGGATTTGCATCGCTCACTCTTACAAAATCTACAGCAATGCTGGCGAGCAGAGCTTCGACAAACTGCTGAAAAAGCTTCGAAGTCACTTGCCCAAAGCCCGAGTGGTGGCCTGCTTCTGTGAAGGCATGACAGTGCGAGGTCTGTTGATGGCCATGAGACGCCTGGGGCTAGCTGGGGAGTTTCTGCTGCTGGGCAGGTAAGTGGCAATGAACAGCCAATGCCAAAAGTTTGACATTTCTTTGTTGCGTATGGACCATTGTGTTAGAATATGAATATGACTGGCTGAAATAGAGCTTAAATATCATAAAGCATCACAGAACCTAGAGAAAATAATGGAAAGTAAGTAGCTGTAATATGTATTGATTGATAATGAAGGCAGGAGGAAGAATGTGAAGATGCTGACTTCTTAAGTCCCCAAAAGTGACAATAGGGAATGATACACTTTCTTCAATTCTTAATGATGCCAAGAGACACAAATGTAACATAAAAATTTTTGGTGTTACTTTCTAAAATGATTTTGAGAATATCTAAATAAGCTTACTTTATAATTCAGAATCATAGAATTTTGGATTTAAAGTAAGATTTTTGTTTTCAAAACTAATTTTAAAGAATTTGAATAGTAATTCAATAGCTGGTATTCCAAAAGTGTCAATAACTTGTTGAATCAACAACATTCCTACTAGACAAGTATCTCAAACATTAGTTTCTGTGAGGGATTGACTTTAATTATTCAGATATTTTATTTAATTGACACAGCTCAGCTTGTTCCCTGCTGATACAACTCAGAAATTTTTTTAGTCTGGTTTTCTAAAGAAACATTCCAAAGCTAATACACATATATGCTTATATGTAGTATAAAAATATATGTAGTGTGCACTATATAGATATACATGTGAGATTCATATCTGTGTACCATTTATTATAAGGAATTAATCCATATGTTTAAGGAGTATGTGAACTCCCAGAATCTGCATTTGGAAAGCCAAGAAACTAAAAGACTCATGTGTAGTTCAGGTGCCAATACAGGCCTGCACTTCATTAGAGCTGGCAGTATTAACTTCTGTCATGAAAACCAGCAAGTCCTATACCAAGAAAAGTCTTTGTCATAGACCACTTCAGAAGGCTGAGAAAGACCAGTGTCCCATGTGTTGTCCTCAGGCAGATATCCCTCTTGTGTAACCTTCTGTTTTCATTCATGCCTTATCTGATTAGATGAAATTTTTTCGAGTGTGTGTGTGGAAAGGGAGAGGGAATTGTCTGCTTTACTAACTCTGATTCAGATTTGTTGATTCAAATGATGTCACCTGAAATACCATCACAAAAATGCCTTAATGTTTATTTAAATATTTAAGTACCACAGCTTGGTCAATTAAATGCATTAAGTTTATCATCACAATTTAAGAAGATACCATAGTCTTGAATATGTGAATGAAGTTCATTCTAGACAGGGAACATTAGGATTGGCATGTAAGCTTCTTCCATTCTATCCTTAAAGAAGATCTCGTGTATCAAATATCTTTCCTGAAAAGCTATCGTTTACTAGGAAAAGCATAGGAGACCTCTCCTCTTTTGATATTTCTATCAGCAATAGAAGGCCATCTCAGTTGCTGTTACTTTTTGATAGTTTACAAAAATAAAACATATTTTCCTTGTTTTCCAAATGCTTAATAGACCTTCTGTGTTCAGACTTGACTCCTGATGATGTAAATTTTTTTAGTCAATTTATGCACCTTATTATTTTTTGACTGAAATGATAGCAGTAAATTGATGTTATTTTTGTATAAGATCATACATTCTTCATAATATATTAGGTGAAGCTTCTTTCAAACTGATGTCATACATTTTGTCTAAAGTATCTTTAATAGCTTCTGTACTTAACTTGGCAGTGGTGATGAATCATTTGGTCTCATAGACTAAAGAATATGCCCATTGACAATCTTTTCATATTCCAAAGGACCATGTTAATAATGAAGTACAAACAGGAAACAAATGGTATTTTGAGTAGTATTAATCAAATTGGACCAAAAATTTTTATACCAAATAATGTATTAAGCTCTTTACATGAATTATCTCATTTATTCATTTGAAAACTACTGGTTTGACAGTCTGATTTTTTTTTCTAATGGAGGATAAAAGATTCCACAGATCCTATTGGCTTCTGTGGCCAGAATTAGATGACAAGAATGTAGGTATTACACACTGAAAGTAAATATTTATAATATTTTCCATTTTCTACTTTTATTTCTATTGCCTATTATACCACAAAATAAAAATTCAAAGATTTTTATAACCTAAAATGAATTCTAAATATACTAAATATAGAAAATTCCAAATCAGTTAATCAAAAAAGATCTTCAGTTAATTTCTCAATTTCTCAGCCTCTTTATTGATTTGTTATGTAATAATTATATTTAGTTGAGCACTAATGCACTTTATCTTTTAGCAATTTCATTAAACCATATCCTTTATTCTGAATTTTAAAATATTTCCTTGTAATAGCCTCATCTGGCTTCTAATTTTCTCTGGAAGACCACCTGATAATCTTTCAAGTATTTGGAAACAAAAATATGATCCATGGTGTTCTATTTTTCTCTGAAACATTTTTGCTTCTTTGATTATGTTTAATATGATGGCACTTTGTGTGTTAGGAGACCATTTTCAGAAGCATTTGTCAAAGTGGACCGGATGTATTGTAATCAAATATTGTATTAAGCTCTATGTATGAATTATTTTATTTAACCATTCATTTAACAAATACTGAATACATAATTTTCATTGAAATGCTTGTGACATATGTGTGAATGAAACAGAAAATACTTTTTATTTTTATAGTATTCCTAGACAGTGATGCAGTATGAAAAAATCCATAATGAGCTAGAGTATGGTCATTATCTCTATTTTGTAGAAAAATTACCTTAGACTTAAACATTTTAATGATATGATCATTAAACAGAAAATAAATTTTAAATGTTGTAGGACAAAAAGTAGAACATCTGTTCTTTTTCTTTGTATAAATGAGGGAGCTGATAACCACAAAGTTGAAATCCAAGGCTTAGAGTCATACAATAACCCAGCAGCCATGACTCAATCCAGTACTTTTGCTTTGCTTTATGGACCTGACTTCTACAGAGTAGGACAACAAATCCCTGGTTCCATGTGCTGCTTCCTAAAGATCCCTATCAGTTTACCAATGCATCCCCCTAATCTCAGCGCTGCTCCTTCTGTTTGTAGGTTTGTACTTGCAAGAATGGTTCTTGGAAACTAGAAACAAAAGCTCATTGCTCAAGAGTCCCATATTTTATATTCGTTATTACTTGTAAGCCTTTCTAGATGTCTTGGGTCATTGCTATTTAATAGGTTATTCAGTTAACATATTTGGCAGAACTAAGAAAACTCTGCTGCTCAGGAAACTGCATCCATCAACAAATCTTTCCATCAGTGCTACAAATCAATAGACTGTTAGAGACACAGAGACACAGACACTCAGCCTTCACATTAAACTCTGTGTAGTGTGTTGTCTTGATGTCAATAAAATCAGCTTGTTCAGGTCCATGAAATAGCCTTGCTAAACACTGTGACCTTATAGAAGAAAGAGACCAGAACCTCAACCATGATGATGTTTCTAAAGGGGCTTATTTTTTCTCGAATGTACACACCGTCTTATTCTAGAATTGGAAATGTAACACTGGAGCTATAGTATATAAAAGTTATGCCAGGTGTGGTGGCACACGCCTTTAATCCCAGCATTTGGGAGGCAGAGGCAGGCGGATCTTCATGAGTTCAAGACCAGCCTGGTCTACATAGTGAGTTCAGGTCAGCTGGGACTACAGAGAGACCCTGTCTCAAAAAAAAGACAAAAAAATAAATAAATAAAAGTTATAAACCTCAATGTGAACTTAAAACAAGAGTGTCCTTGTTAGACAACAAGACAAAAAAAAAATCTGAAGTTCAGGCAACAGATTTTTCCATTAAAAAAAGGAGGCCAAGTGATACATGCTCCATGCCTCCACTCTCATCAGACAGGTGAGTCTGTCCCTGGTGAGAAAGGGAGAGGGTGCAAATACATGAATCTATATTGTTCCCTCATGGGCAGGGGAAATTTCTCTTTAGTACACTTTATTGAAATTTGAAGACTAAAACATTTATCTCTCAAGAGTCCCTTCTGAGGTTGGTTTATTAATCTGATTTTTCAATGGAAAATCTAAATCTTAGAGGGATGACTTATCCTATCAGTGGTCAGCAAGATCAACAGATGTTCAGCTGAAATGTAAGTGGTACTGGACACCCCTGAAGCTGTTTGGGTATGAAAAGCAGAAAAGCCCAAGAGGAGAGCAGAGGAACTCAGTGATATCCCTGGACAAAGGGGGCTCCTGTGTGTAGGATGAAACTACTCATCGCTTTAAAGTCTCCTGGGCTAGAGTCTTCACAATTCAAGTTCTGCTAGTTTGGAGGATCTTTGTATTTATAATATTTATTTAGGAGAATATTTTTTAACAGATGTTAATAATAGTTATTTATAAAGTGTTCTTTTTTAGTAAGTATTGTTACATGTGATTGTTCTCATCTATTAATTAATTGGGTCTTCATTAAAGATCTACCTGGAAGGTATTTTATAGCTAAGGAAACTGATGCAGAGACTACTGACTTACTCAAGATCACACAGACAAGTGTCAGAGAGGACAATGGGAGGCAGCCTGTATCTTTGATCATGATAGACATTTGTGGGTCTTTGATAATCCTTATAAATTGAATCTTAGTAGCATAAAATATCATTAGTTTTTTCTCTTTGGCTAACATGAAAACACATTAAGAAAAATACAGTAACTAAAATGATTCTTCAGGGACTACAGTCATGGGTCAGCAGTTAAGAGCATGTTGCAGAACTGGAATTCATGTACCAGTACTGACACCGAACACTGGGCAGTTCACAACAGCTTGTAACTTCAAGTCCAGATAATCTAGTGTCCTTTTGTGGCCTCTATGGACACTTGCACCTAGCTGCACACACACAAAAATAAATAAATTAATAAATAAATAAATTAATTAAAATAAATAAATAAATAAATAAAACCCCTTTTTAAAAAGTGATTTTTAAAACAGGGTTTTCTTGCTTTTAAAGTATAAATAAGATTATGTGCACCAATATAATTTTCATTAAACAAACAAAAATTCAATAGAATATTTGAGTCACACTGT